ACTTAATTTACGTAAGAGCCTTTGGTGAGGGACCTTGTCAAAGGCTTTCTGGAAATCTAAGTACACTATGTCCACTGGATCCCCCTTGTCCACATGTTTGTTGACCCCTTCAAAGAACTCTAATAGATTAGTAAGACACGATTTCCCTTTACAGAAACCATGTTGACTATTGCTCAACAGTTTATGTTTTTCTATGTGTCTGATAATTTTATTCTTAACTATTGTTTCGACTAATTTGCCCGGTACTGACGTTAGACTTACCCGGTCTGTAATTGCCAGGACCACCTCTAGAGCCCTTTTTAAATATTAGCGTTACATTAGCTAACTTCCAGTCATTGGGTACAGAAGCCCATTTAAAGGACAGGTTACAAACCTTAGATAATAGTTCCACAACTTCACATTTGAAGCATACCCATTTCTACACTATCCCCTCCCATCCTTCTAGCACAAAGGACAGAGGGTAGCTGCAAAGCACTGCACTACAGTGATTCGTGGCTACTGGAAAAGCCTCTAGAGGGCTGTTCCTGCTGATGTCAATTAGAACAACCCTAATGCTGCTCTATGTTACACCAGGTATTAACCTGGCTCCAGGACAGGAGTGTAAAAGTGGTTTAGAGTCACCTTCACTTCACTACCACCACCTTGGATCCTGACCCTGTGAGGGATCTGGGCTCTAAGATGCTATGCAAATATTATACAAGTGGATATTAACGGACAGACAGGAAGCTCACCTTGGCTTTATTCTTGAAGATAGACTTGGGGAGATTATCATAATGGAGGTGTGTTGCCAAAATCCTTGGAGATGGAAACTGTTTCATCCTCTTTAAATATAAATAAAACAATAAGAGAGAATAGTTTTGTTAAGTGGGTGCAACCACAATGTGAAATGTTGGCACATGTGGAATAGCACATTCTCATGCTAATCAAAGTGCAGTAGTTATCTAGGGTTTTTCTTCAGGAGAAAAAGTAATCTAGCATGCATGGGTTTATTTCAATAACTTGTATGTGTAGGCATGAGAGAGAAAAAGAGAGAAATACCAGACTTTAAATTGTTTCAGTATTTATTTCATACTAACCTGATATTTTTCTGGATCTCCACATTCAATAAATGGCAGCTCCGTGTTTATATGTTTAGTCTGGGAAGTTGTAAATATCAAATCATTTAAGAGCTGGATAAGCCAATTTGCACCTGGACGGACAAACAAACAAAAATACAATGGATCAGAAGCTTATCAAAGATCTCAGAACCTTCTCATTACACTGCTTAACACAGTAGAATATCAATTTATCAATGTAAAAATAATTCTACTGAAATTCTCAAGGGACTAAATACAATAAAATCTTAAAAAATAAAAACAAAATCCTAAACTGCTACTTGACAGCCTGCATTTTGGGCTTTATTCTGCTCAGATCCCATACGGGTCAAACTTACTGAGACCTAGTGATGTGTGGAATAGAAATAGAATTTAGCCATTGATGTATTTGTATATTTTTAAAAAATATTTCTAAAATAGAGAAAAAACAAGGGGAACATAGCGCCTTCCCTGCAATAACTTGCAGGAAGGGATTGGGGTGTTGGAAGCTCACAGAGAGCCTCAGATCATTCTGTCAGGGAGAGGGTGTCTATCACCCCCGATTAACAAATAAACATGGGGTACTTCACTCATGGATTGTCCAAATCCTTCTCTACACTGGGCCTGGAGCCCTTTGTCTGTCCCATCACTTCTCTAGCTACCTGATAGGGTTGCTCCAATGGAACTGTATTGTTAGATAACTCCCCACCTGTTTCTTCTCTTTGGAGTAACCTCTTCAGAGGTTTCCATGAGTACTCTTCTCTAAAGGTAACCAGCATGATTCGCTGCTGGTTGCCATAGAGAGGTGGCAAGGATGGATGACAACAATGTGTGTCCTTGGTCCATAGCATCATCCCCCTGGTCCTTGTGGAGATCCCCTTGGAAGGTTTTCCTAAGGGTCCATGGAGATGGTGCTGCAGAGTTGGCTGAGCCATAACTTTCTGTGCACTGAGAAATCCCCCTGTGCATGCCAGAAACAACAAGAAATGCATGATGCAAATAGCTTTAACCTCATGCTTTCTGTGGAAAGCTGTGGCCTGAAAGGATGTTATCCTTCTTTCTCCATTCTTCTCCCCAACTTCCTCACTCTTCAGTCTCTTGTCCTCTTGTGTTTTCATATTAGCTTTACATTGTTAGCTCATGGGGTTGAGATCTTGTCTTTGTATTCACCTGTAAAGCACCACGCATGCCTGTGCAGCTTTATAAATAATAATCTCTGCCTCAGTGTGATTCTCTGTAAAAGAGGGTTAACTGTACTTCCCTACTTAACAGGTGTTGTGAGACTACATTCCTGAATGGGTGAAATTCACCCTTGTACAAGGCCTATGCACCACTTAAATCCTACTTAAGCACTAGGAACCAAATGAGGACCAGGCACTAGGTCTCAAGTGATCCACTCAAGTGGCCTGGCACTGGCACTCTGTCCAGAGGTGAATTCACCCTATCTTTGTAAAGTGCCTTGAGATCCCCAGATAGCAGATGCTGTAGAAGTGCCAATTATTATTATTGTTTCTTCATAAAGCTATATTCATCTCCTTATTTAAATGCAGACTAGAGCCAGCAACAGCACTCTCTACAATTCTATGCCCTCACTTGCTCCTTACATACCATCAATTCACAAATAAAAGTTACATTCTTAAGGATGTTACTTGATAGGCCTGAAATACCAAGTCTCTAGTTTCCCTACCACCTCTCAAACGTCTGGGTTAACAGCAGAGAGTATTGCCTTCTGAATCTACGTTTTCCTTCACCCTACACAGCATAAAGATTTTCCACATCAGTTAACATTTTCTCTTCTATTGTGGATACCCAAGATGTGGGAAGCATTTCACATAGTGAGATTTTCTGTAGTTTAACTTTCATGATCCTGAATAAATAACAAGAAATAGGACAACAGTAAGGCTTTGGAAGATGAAGGGAAGTTTGGATTCAAATCTGAGAATTTTCATCAGGCCTCTTCCTCTGAGGTGCTGACTATACAAAATTCCCAGTAAAGTCAATGGGAGTTGTGAGTGCTCAGCACTGGGAATGGGACAGTCAGCTCCTTCCAAAATTGGGCTCAATATCAGACATATTTGAGAAACTGGCTAGGGAAAAATCAGACACCTGTTTTTATAGGGCTACCAAATAGCTAGATTCTATTTGTTCACGTGGTAGACACCTGTAAATAGATGTTTAGCCCTACAGAGCTAACCTGTGGTTCTTTAGGCTGAATCCTGCAAGAGGCTAAGCACCCGTTCTGGTTATTATACCAATGGGAATCAATGGAGCTCAGCACCTCAAAGACAGAGTTTTAAACTGCACCACCCAATTTCCTGTTTTCCTTTTAGTTCTTTACACACACCCCATCCTCTCCATTTTTTCCTTTATAAAACTTGGGAAATTAAATGCAAAAGTTCCATTTAATGCTAGTTAAGGTTGTGAGATTAAGCACTCAAATGTCAGGAAATTTAAAAATAAATAAGGTTTTGCTGGCAATGGGTTACTACACCACATTAGACATATGTAATATTTTCTGTTCCCTTCTCTTGTGTTCAGTGTAACCCTTAACAAATGCCTTTTCATTGATGTAAGCCTATTGCAGGGTTTCAAAATTCTCCAGCTGCCCCACTCTGTTAGAGGGAGCTGCAGATTCATTCCTCTGAACTTATTAGCAATGCCTTGTCCCTTGTTCAAATTTCCCATCATTGATTTATCACAAGATGCATTAGTATTAGCAATAGTGGGGAATTTTATAAAAAATCCCCCCAGCGCAGACAAAGGTATAGAGCCAGGTGTGACTAATTAAACTAACTGAATTTCTGAATATCTCCAAACTATACTGGTGTTTGAAATCTAAACCAAACCAAATTATGTAAATAGCCCTTATCCTCATATTGGGCCAGACAAAAAACCTACGATCCCCAAAATCCCTAAATTATGGGATATTCAAAATCAGATCCACATTTTCAGTTCATCTTTTATTTTGTATTTGTCCCATTTCCACTGCTTTGGCTTCCTATCTCTCCATGGTTGAGATATTTACCTTAACCACTGCAAGCCAATTTCCTTACTAAGGCAAAACTCCCATGGGTGATCAGCATATCTCACAATTAGGCCCGCAATAAGGTCTTTATGATTGGGCCCCAACTGGATTACATCATTTATTCATTCTATTGTAACAGGTTTCTCAACAAAAGATTAAATAAAATTGCACAGGTTCTCCTCTGCAGACCACTTTGTAAGGTAGAGATCCTCTCTTATATCCATATTATCTCCTAAAACCATAAATCCCCATCGCTTCAGTCTCAAAATGTTTCTCTCCACAGTCCACAAGAAAAAGGAACATGGACTATTGGTGTACTATATTCTGGTCTGGACTGTTTTCTAGTCACTAGGAAAATCATATCAGATCTGGCAAAAACAACTTGAAATTTAAAAAACATTAAAGAAAAGCTTAAACTTCTGCAAAAATAGCCAATACGTCCTGTCACTTTTCCATCATAATTAGGAACGATTATTTTTTTTTGTTACATGTAACTTTATTGCACAGTCGGCTATACCCATCTTTTCACATGAAGGGTATCAAATGAGCAGAATTTGCTTTCATGTACAGCATCTTCTCTAGTATGCAGCCACCTGCAGTACGGAATAATTAAAGAAAGATATCCTGGCAGAAAGGCAAACTATACTGAAAAGAAACAATCCAATACAATGCACAATTAAAATGACACAGGATAAAACATTATAGTCTCTGTTTGTATCAGCAATGCCAATTTAAAATCCCTACAAAACTTATGCAGAACTAAAACCTAAAATAGATGTTATTTTCCCTCTTATTACACCATGTGGTTATTTATGACATTTTATATTTTACATTGTAGCAAGTAATAACATTGACTGTATTCACCGCATTTGGGGTAAGACACCAACACCATATCATCTCTTCTGGCTTCTAAGTTTTCCAGGGCCTGGAATGTCTCTGCACTGCATACAGAGACAGGGTATGGGGTTCCCTGATAGAAGAACAGCAGATCCTTAAGGGAAAACCCTTTAGACTTTTCCAGCACTTTCTCTATTTCATCAACTAATTTGTTCTGTTGTTTTGCCATGTTTGTTGCCTTTGAGTGAAACTGCAGTGTTGGAACAACAAGTGCCTTTAAATGGACAGATCTGAAGGGTGGAGTAAAAAACCTGGCACTCCTCCCATTTTTTTTTCTTGAGAACAAAATATCTCACGTTGTTCTCCATATGCAAACCCCACCCAATCGGGTATATTTCTTTCCTCCTTTTCCATCCTCCTGGGACTAGAGAAAGGGTCCAATTCAGCAAGACTTAGTCCTAAAAGTAAGGCTTACTCTTATAAATAGTACCACTGAAGACCAGTTGGAGTGACAGGATTGGGCCCACTGAGACAAACAGATATAGGAGACAAATCAGTAAGAATGAGAGGCAAAATATTAAATTTAACCTTATATAACATTAACAGGAAGCAAACCTCTCACACCAATATAAAGTTGTTTTTCTTTTGGCAGCAAGTTATTTCTGTAATTAAAGAAAGCTTTTCAGTCCTGTATCACTGATTTAGAAGAAACAGATGTAAAGTCTATGGGTAACAAGTAATAGGAGACAGTACAATGAAAAGCATAAGGCATGAAGAATAACAATCAAATTAATTCCAGGAAAGCAATACTAACATCACAGCTTTAAAATAGTGTTTAAAATATCATCATCAGCTTAAAATCCCAATGCCTACACTGGAAGGTATTGTATATTAATGTCCCCCTTTTATGCTAAAGAGACAATAAAATGCTGAAAGCTTACATTTAGCAGGGCTTCCCCCAATGTGCCCCTAATAAGATTTAGATCCTTTTGTAATGTACTGGATTTATGCATATAATCAAGTTTCACTTTAGCAGTTGACTCAGACAGAGAATATGGGGTTTGCTAGTAGTAGCTAAGGGACTTTTCCATTAGTTCAAACAGTAGAGATCTGTATCTAAGCATTATAAGCATATTCTTAATTTTATGCCTCAATCACTCTAGTAGAACTACTCACATGCTTAAAGTTAGGCACTTGCTTGAGAACTTTGTTGAAGGACAAGGTTTCTAGCAGCAGTGTGTGATTTGTATAGTAACTGTCTATGTTCAGCACCTGGAGCTGCAATCACAGTTGGACTGAGCTATTGACACATTTTGTGGAAAACAGGGGTCCTGTGAGCCCTATACTCAAAGATGAGAGGCAAGAAAGGTCAGGTGGGTATTACAAATAGCAGGCTCAGTAGAGACACAGCCAAGCCCACCAGAGAACAACACCCAATGGTAACTTTCTCCTTCCCCTTCTGATGGGAGAAGAGACCATGGCTATCGCCTTGTACCCTGCTGGCAGTCTGGGAGCAATGAAGGGAGTCTAACAGTATGTGTAGGTGTGGAAGGAACACAGCAGGGAATGACAGACATAATTGAGCAAGAGGGAAATAATCATCACTTGTTATATGTTATAAAAATGTTAAAACAAAATACAGTTTCTTTTGGTTGCTTCTCTGCCCTGTATTTATGATACTAGTCTGGTCTATGAGCCCTCAGCTATGCCCAGATCATTATTACAATCACATCAGCAAAGTCCAAAAAGATTGAAATATACAGTCACTGAGTAATATTAGCATATGGAAGACACTAATCCATACTTAATTACAAACTCTCCTGGTGGCTCCTAAGAGAGAGCCCTCTGAGCCAATGAACAATTCCCCAATGCTACTCTCTGGGCCCTCTTACAAAGAAAGGAATGGAGCTACTCAAGAGCAACTCCATCTACTCCTGCCCAAGTTCTCGAGCACGTCAGCAGCTTATCATAATATTGAAGGCTATGTTGAGGAAGGGTTGGAAGTTGAACTCAAGCAGAAGTTTGTAGGCCATTGAGCTACATTTTACTGAGACGGGAGTATCTGTGATCTTTGTGACTGCATTATGAACTGGTGCACTCCTTTGGGTGTTACTACTGGACATATCATTTGTGAAATATTAAGATCTCCTGTACAGTAGGTTCCAAACCTCTGGACCACCATTTCTGTTATTCTACTGATGGAAGTAGCTGCCTGTAAGAAAGGAAGATCACAGCTGCCATCACCAGGCCTGGCAGAGCATGAGCTTTGCCTCTTCCTGGCCCAAACAAACCCACAAATGCTCCCTCTGCTCCCTTATAGTTTCAAGACCTAACTATAGACCTCTACAGGTTACTTGAGGCATCAGTCACCATTGTTTGGGCAAAAGCAACTGCAAGTCAAAGCAGCAGTAGCTGTGGGTTGTCAGTCCTGTGCTTCCTTTGTTGGGAATGCCCAAACACAGTTCCCATTTCCTGCTATATTTAAAAAACAGCAGTTCGTGGACAACGACCTCCAAAAGAAAAGAATCCTTCACGGCTTGGAAAACAGAAAAAAAGCTCTAAAAAAATCAGTGGATCTAATCTTGAGAGGCACAGGCTTAGGGGCAGGATCCCAGTGCTGGGGCAGAGTGCTTGGTCCATGTTGGGCCGGGTTGGTGGGGGTGGCGTCCTGGAGCAAGGGCGGGGTCCCGAGACAGGAGGCTGGGGCGGGGCCGGGTTTAGGGGCTGGCTCCCGGGATGTGTGATGCAGGTTGGGGTGGGGTCCCTGGGAGCGTTGGGGGCTCAGAGCCTCGTCGCGGCCTCTCATCAAGTTTAGGCAGCAGTAGACAGCGCTGTGCTGGGAGGGAGCTGTTTATAACCCCCCCCACACACACACACACCACACACACCACACCCTGTGGGGACTGATCATTGGCGGAAGGCGGTTGTACGCATGCGCTCACGGACAGCGCCTCCTAACCGTGCCTATGCGCTACTGTGTCTGCACGCACGTTGCTGGGCGCAAAACCAGACTGCGCCTGCGCTGGGGAGCGAGCCCCTCCCCTCCCCTCTGAAGGACGTAAGGTGAGTGGTGATGCCCGCCAGCCGCCGGGGAAGGGCGTGTGCTGTTGGCTAACGCGGAGGCTGCTGTTTCGCGGCGTTGTGATCAGTGACGCTGGTTGCTGGGCCGCGCGCCCCGGGGCGCAGCGGGTGAACGGTGGGGTGACCGTAATGGGCCCTCAGGTTATGATGCGGAAGTAGAATCTGTTTTCTGCTTCCGGGTCGCTCTGCTTGCTGCTGCAGTTGGAACGAGCGAGTTAGTCGGGGCCGCGAGTACAAGGGGCGAGGCTTGGAAACCGCCAGAGGCGGAGGTTCAACGTTGCAGGTCTCTCCCGCGCTTAGCTCTTCCCCGTCGCGCGCACAGGCCGGTCACGTGCCCTCGCCGGACTATGGTGGGGAGGAGGGTCACGTGTTTCTCACGCGGCGCTGGCGAGTTGCCGCGGGCGCGTTCCGGGCCCCGCGTTCCCAACTGCGCTCGTGCCAGTTGACTTTCCCAGTTGCTCGCTAACGGCCCTGTTCTCCGCTGAGCGGTTTCCCGCCTGATTCCCCTTCCTCCCTCTTCCCGCGCCAGCTGCTTTTTCCGGCCTTTTCCCATCTCAACTGCTGGGCTCCCCCATGCGCGGTTCTTGCCAGCGTGTGGCCCGCAGGGCGCCCGCCCGTCGCTGTTCGTACGCGCCGTGTCCAACCTTAGCGCCTTTGATTGCAGATGAATCCGGGCCTCGCCCGGTGCCTGCAGCGCGCTGGGCATTGGGCCGGCCTCAGCCCGTGGCCGGACTTGGCCGTAGTGCAGCGTGTGTTGGCTGAAGGCTTGCCCTGGCCTGCTGTGGGGCCCGCTGCATTGATTTTAATGGGAGCTAGTTGGGGGCCTGGCGCCGGCCGAGGGGAAAAGACACCATGCGACAGCCAACTCTTAAAGCAAAAGTTATTTTCAGAGCTGTAAATTCCAGATGTTAAAAGGTGACTGGCAAGCCACCTCTTCAGGTGCCATCAACTGCAGCAGTATATGCTGGAGGTCCCAGTAGTCAAACTGAAGGGGGTGCAGGTTGGGGCTAAACCTTGGGGACCAGTGAGGACTAGCACCCATCTAACTACTGATGTCACATCATGCATGGAATCCTGCCTAGGAATATGGCTCAGATAAACGTTGAGCTTTATATTTAACCACCCAGAGCATTACTTTTGTAAAATTTTGTTTTAAATGTATAAAAGGGACCTAGAAAAAAAATAAAAACCTATCGGTTTCTAGGTAACATGCTAAATGCTCCTTGTCAGGCCTGATCCAGCACCCACTGAAGTCAATAGGAACTCCCATGGACTTTGTTGCATCTGAAGAAGTGAAGTTTTTACCCACGAAAGCTTATGCCCAAATAAATCTATTAGTCTTTAAGGTGCCACCAGAGTCCTTGCTGTTTTTGTAGATATAGATTAACCCGGCTACCCCCTGATACTTGGTGGATATTAGATTCATCTCTAGTCAGTATATTTAAGGCATTCCACACTTGCAGTACTCTGATGGACTCCTGATGATAGCTCAGTGGTTTGAGCATTGGCCTGCTAAACACAGGGTTGTGAGTTCAATCCTTGAGGGGGGCCACTTAGGGATCTGGGGCAAAATCAGTACTTGGTCCTGCTAGTATTCAATGACCTTTTGGGGCCCCTTCCAGTTCTATGAGATAGGTATATCTTCATATATAATTTAAGAATAAGCAGAAATTCTTAAGATATCTTTATTACTTTAGTTCAAGAATGAAAATGTTAGCATCTCTAGAGTAAAATGCTTATCCAACTCTATTTTTAAAAGTTAGGCATGGAACCTGTTGCAAGAAAGATCTTGAAAGGAGTTTTACTTTTGGAAATCGCTGCGGTTGCTGGAGCATATTCACTATTTTACAGAATGGACACAAATCAAGGTAATAAAGTGGTTTTAGAAATTACTCCTGATGGTGGGTACCAACATTTCTTATAAGAAAAGTGGAAAAATTAGTAGAGAGTGGATAAGGTAGCAAAATGTTGATTCCCAAAATTAAAAAAGTTGAAACTTCTCTTCACACCAGTCCATACTGTTTTTCTACTGTTTTCTGTAAACAGAGTAGTTTGTGAAGAAACCAACTGTGAATGTAATATTGGGGTGGGGGAGACTGTACTTAAGAGGACAGATAATTTACTGGGCTATGTCACAAGAACTTAGCCTAATAGTAAATGACTGAGACTTATTAGGAGGTTATATGTATACTAAGGTAGTGAGGTGTAGGGGGGAATAGAACCATCATGAAATAACTTCTGTTTCAGCAGTCTGTATGTTAACTGTGTAACAGGTGAGATCTGATTAGTAATCTGTTGTGGAATTATTACCTCCCCAGAACACCTTATCCTAAGGACAGGGACAAGGTTTCAAGTAGGAAAAAACTCATCTAAGCATTTGTTGCTGAAAGATTGTATTGGTGAAAAAGAAATTGTTCATCTATTAGATTACTCCTGAGGGAATTCTGTGCCATAAGAATAAAAATTATGCGCACAATATTTTAAAGTTCTGCAAATGTTCCCAATAAACGGGGAAGCTCCAGCATGGCAATGGGGCGTACAGGCCACTGGGTGCATGGAGGTGGGATATCACCCTGCAATGTATGCTCTCCCCGTCCGATATAGACTTGGTGGTGAGGATCTTGACACAGCACAAGGCCAGGCCTGCCCCTCTGTGACAGGCATATCAGGTGTGGGCAGGCAGGCTCAGCCCAGCAGGATCCAAATGTGGAGGGATCCAGGTGTGGATTGAGAGGGTTTGGTGTGAGCATCTCAATTGGGGTCTGGGTGCATGGGCAAGGGAACTGGGCAGGAGGGTACAGGTGAAAGTGGTTGGGGCTCAGCAGGGGGTGGGTGCTGGGGGAGTGAAGCTTGGTGGATTGGAAGTCTGGAGTCCAGGGGTACAGGTTCAGGTGCAGGGGGCTTAGTGGTGCTGGTCTGGATGCAGGGATAGGGCTCGGTGGGAGGGTCTGGGTGCAGGGGGGCCTCCAGCTGCAAGGGGTGAGGCTCACCAGGGGGGTTTGGTTATGGGGGGGTCCAGATGCACTGGGATTGGCTAGATGGGGGCGCAGCTCCACCCACAGTTGAGGAGCAATGAGGGCAGGAAGCAGGGGGATATGGAGCTTCCTACAGCCAGGGGAGGTTTCTGGAGTGGGTCTGACCCAACCCGGACCACTCCATGCAGGGGAAGAGGAAGTTCCAGCCTTCCCAGCACAGGCCAGGATGTCCCCATCTCCATCCCCTGTGGTGATTTAGCTCTCCCTTGGCAACTCCAGGCACCAGAAACTATGCACCTGCGTTGCTGAAGCATGTAACCACTCTTGCAGCTTCCCTGGCAGAAAGTTGTACTTCTGCAGGGAAGCAAAAAATTCTGCGGGAGACATGAATTCTGGGTGCATGCAGTGGTGCAGAATTCCCCCAGCAGTAATCTATAGCACGTATTATATAAGAGAGAGACTAAATTAGGGCCTGGAGAAACCTCACTCTGCCCAGGACAAAGCCTAGCTCACATCAAATGAGCCCTCAGACCTAGAGAGTTTAGCAGATTCACTGTCAGTTAAGGCTCTCCCAGGAGAGTTTTATACTGCCACTCATTACTCTAGTACAGGGGTCGGCAACCTTTGAGAACTGGTGTGTCAAGTCTTCATTTATTTACTGTAATTTAAGGTTTCACGTGCCACTAATACATTTTACATTTACAGGGGCCGGCAGACAGAATCCCAAACCGGCAGTGGGGGTGGCAGACGGAACCCCAGACCAGCAGCGGGCTGAGCCGCTCAGCCCGCTGACTGTCTGGGGTTCTGGCCGCCAGCCCCTGCCAACTGGGGTCCCGGCCGCTCAGCCCACTGCCGGCTCAGGGTTCTGTCCATCCACACTGGCAGTGGGGCTGGCGGCCGAGAAATCAACAGAAAAATTCTCATTCTATCTACAGATATTTGTGACTTATGGCACAGCTTCAGGGCAGGTCAAACTGCAAAGATACACTTGTTCTCTTCAAACAATGTTAGGGATCTATTGCCATCTGAGTGGCAGTTCTACTGTAGGTCAGATTTAGATCAGATTATCAGAAATGGAGTTATGCAGAACTAAAGAGCTTTGAAAAGGAGGGACTATCCAGAGAAGCACCTTATCCTAGTGTGTGTTTTTAAAAAAAAAAAAGGTTGTGGGGGAAGTCTGTGGCTGATGTAGTAGCAATTAGGTACAAAGCTTTAGGTGTGTTAAGGAATAACATGAGCTCAAATTTAGGTTTGCACAGAGGATGGAGATACTCTTTTCAGCTTCCAGGATGGCACTGATAAGGTTAATCTGCAGCCAAATAAGGGAAGTTGTCTGGAGGAGCCTGGTTATTAAGAGAGAAAGATCTAGCTGAATCCTCTAAGGTAGGGGTTCTCAACCTTTTAATTTGAGCCCCCCCTCCCCCACAAAATGCTATAAAAACTCCACAGCCCACCTGTGTCACAATAACTGGTTTTCTACATATAAAAGCCAGGGCTGATACTACCAGAGGGGCTCCCACGAAGCTAAGTTGTTCAGGCTTCCGCTTCAGCCCCAGGTGACGGGGCTCAGTGCCCTAGGGTTCAGCCTCATGCAGTGGGGCTTCAGCTTTCTAACCTGGGCCCCAGCGAGTCTAACACTGGCTCTGCTTGGCTGACCCCCTGAAACCTACTCGCGGCCCCCTCTAAGGCATTGTTTCTTAATCAGTTTGTGGGATAGTGCAAGTCCCCAAGATTTAGGAAGGCAGCAAGCCAGTATCAAAAAGGTTGAGAAACACTGCTCTGAGGGATGCTCAATGCTTGAACTTGTAATAAACTTGGGGCAAGCTCTTTGGCTCAACCCTTCCTTTAAAAAACTCTAGATTCCACAACCTCTGAGTTTTAGGAGGGAGAATTTTTTGTATCTGTCTTGCAAAAGGAAAGACTTTTCACTTGTAAAACCTTAAGAGCCAGATGTTCAGAGGGACCCATCAGGCTTTTCTTGCCCATTTCACTAGTTGGGGACAGGCTCAAAGTGTCTTACTTTTATTTACAAGTTAACTCAGATGTATTGTTTGAACACTGAAAAATCTTGAATGAAATTAAAGTACATACTACTTAATGGTATCTAAAGACTAAGAAAGCTGCCTTTTGAATACAGAAACATCCATTCCATTGGTGCAATTGTTCATTTATTTTTTGGAGAATAGTTGTAATTTTTTCTTATTCCCTTATCAGATTTTAGGCATACAATGAACAGGAGATTTCCATCCATTCTGGAAGGTAAGTTACTTCTTGCCAACTAAAAGAAAACACTTGATAAAGCTCGTATGTCTTTTTGATGGTGAATTATCTTCTAGTTTTGCATTGTTGTTAAATGTTTTTCAGAAGTGCAGAGATTGTAAAATGTACATTTCGCTAGAGACAATTCTAGTGATTTTTTTTCTACTCATTTTATTACATTTCTAATTCATCTTAGACCTAGAAATTCAGATGCACGTAAGAAGAATAGATGACTCTGATGCCTTCTCTTATATATTTTCACAGTTTATTACAAAAGCAATGAATTGGCTGGAGTTTATGGAAAAAGGGAGGAGGACCAACTGAAATGGCTAAGCAGCAAAAGTTAGAAGTAAGTAAAAACAGAAGCAGTTTAAAACAAAATGTCTCATTCATTTTCTTGACTTTTTGCCTTTGTGTTTATTTTTCAGGCCTTTGTGTTTGAACTGTTTTTTCTTCTTGATAATATTTTTCACATCTCTGTTGTGAAGCCAATTGTCACGCTCTGCTTCCCACCTGAGCTGTTTGACACCTACAAGGGAAGAAGAGGGGATAACTTATGTATCCTTTGAACATGGTTTGGTATTTGAATAAATGATAAATTCATAAAACACCAATCAAGTGTGAATTATTGGATTTTTCACCTCAGAAGAAATTTTTCCATTATGCAAAAACTATTCTACCTGGAACCTTTTGGGCCTGTTGCAAAGGCACAAATTTTAGAATTGCTTTCATGTATCCTGTGTTATAGTTTGCATTAACACTATTGTTTAAGTAGAAATAGTGTCTAGGATAAGAGATTTTTTTTAGGCTAGAGAAATGATGAGTATAATTAAGGCTTTGTATTAATTCTTTACAACACAACAGGTTTTATCTATTTGATATCTACTTTTCAAAGTGGGATTATACAGATTTAGATTTGTGGGGAAAAAACTGTTTTTGCTCCATATACACCAAAGCTGGGGAGTGGTGTATTTGGCTAAACCTTGGTTACATCAGTTTTTATACTGGGGAGAAAGTTAAATGCTTCTAGAAATTTAAAACCAGTTAAGCTATGTAATTTAGAATTAGGTATTTAATGATGCAAGTCAAAAGCTGCACATTATTTTGCAAAATGCTTGCAAGTACTATGACTAAGAATACAATTAAATGTAGACTAGGATGAGAGTCCTTAACAACAAGTACTATACATCATGTACCTACATAAAATAAATTAAGGTTATACTGGAGCAACAGCTCAATTATTTTTTTTGTGGAGTAAGTTAAACTTTGTGTATTCCATTTAAAATGGAAATTTTTAAATATCAACTAAGCAATGAAATTTTTTCTTATTGTCATAACGATCATGCATAGATACCTATTCAAATAGGGTAAGGGAATAGTTTGTTTTTAGAAGATGTAACTGCACTTACTTGCATTATCTTTGTTCGCCATTGCATTCATACCAATGTTGTCAAACTTGGACCTAACATTTTCATCCAGAAGAGTGCCAAACTTTAAAGAAAGAAATAATAGTATTTTGTTTATGGAAAAATATACCCAGGTAAAATGTGAAAGCAAACGTTCTTTCTTAATTATATATACTAATCAGACTTACCTCTTCTGCAGCAGAAAGCATGCTGATGTCTTTGAGTTTTCTTTTCTTTTGCTGCTTTGATCCTTCAAATAGAAAAAAGTTATTAAATTGTAATCAACAGCTAAAATTCTACATTCTGCCAGGCGGCATCACCAGACAAAAAAAATCATCCTTTAATAACATTGTCCAAAGTATCTGATTTCTATTAGAAAGCTCCTACAAAAGCATCTATTTAATACAGCGAAGTAGCTAGAATGTAACTAGAAGATAGAGAAATCCTCCATCATTTCATTGCAGAGAGAGATGTGTGAACAGATTACTATTACAATATATGTATTACATTATTAAGCACTCTAAAGACCCAATCAGGATCAAGGCCCCATAGTGCTTACAGTTGAAGACAAGTGAAAGATGAAGGGTCAAGGGAGAGAGCTACAATCCAAAATATACAATTTTCACATACATGTTAGCATTTATAATAAAATGAGTGTTAATTATCTGATAACTCCATCTGTCCCTCAAGCAGTCATTAATTGGCTGACTTCTAATCAGTGCTGCAGCAGAAATGGGTCTTGAGAGTAATAACTCTTCTGGAGTCACTCAGGGAGAAGATTTCAATAGCACTGACTAGCACACAGAAGGAACTGATCTCACAAAAGTGGTCTGCTAGTGTTTGTAACAAAAATACACTAAAAAGTTTAAAATCTACATAGTTTAGTATAAGAAAATTGGAGATTAGTTCTCTCAGACAGAAGGGATGGCTGATAAGAGCGGGGATTGTGTGCCAGTATTTTTTTCCTCCCAAAAAGGATTGCCTCAGTAAAAGCATACAGAATCAAAGCCTAATGGCTAGGGCCCTACCAAATTCACAGCCGTGAAAAACATGTCACGAATTGTTAAATCTGGTCTTTTGTGTGTTTTTACTCTATTCCCCCCCTGTAAAATCTGTATAAACCAGTGTTTCTCAAATTGGGAGTTCAGACCCAAAAGGGAGTTGCAGGAGGTCACAAGGTTAGTCTAGGGGGTCGTGGTATTGCCACCCTTACTTCAGGACAGCTGGAGAGTGGCTGCTGCTGGCCAGGAGCCCACCTCTGAAGGCAGTGCCCTGCAAGCAGCAGTCAAGGTGGCAATACCATACCATGCCACTCTTACTTCTGTGCTGCTACTATCAAAGCTGGGCAGCTGGAGAGTGGCGGCTGCTGACTGAGGGCCCAGCCATTTTGTTGGGAGTCACGAACAACCTCCATTCCTGAGGTGTTCAATTATTCTGAGCTTCTACTGTATGTTTTTAGCTCTCAAGCTTTAAGGGGTTTGGATACGTTGACTCTTTAACACACACATCCTTTAACCAAAATATTAGTCACCCTTCCCTTCAGATGCTCAACTTTCACTTAGTTCTTGTGATGTCCTTATTTCTCCAGCTTTCCAGTCATCAAAATCTGAATTTCTAATGTACACAACAAGCAAATTTAAAAAAAAAAACTTTAGGTAAACTTTATACGTCAAAGTAGCAAAAAAGGGTTCAACCGTTTTTGCAGGTTGCTTTTAAGACCTAAAGCAGTGATACTCAGACTTCAATGGTTCAAGACCATAATTAGTGATCAACACTACCCAAAAGAGCCACAGTAGTGTGAGTTCATTGTTTCATTTACAACAGTACTGAATATTCATCTTTAAACTGTATGACAAAATATTTAGTTTTATATATTCTCACAGCAAAATGACTAGCCACATATTTTATCAACTACAATGGGTTAACATAATAAAAGCATCCTGATTAATAATAAATCAGTGTTTTAATATGTTCTGCACAGAGCCACAAGCGACACCTTAAAGAGCCACTTGTAGCTCCCAAGCCTCAGTCTGAATATCACTGATGTAAAGCAACAGTGCAAAGCTGTCTGATGCTGGAGGATTTTTTTTTAATTTTTTTTTGAGTGGGAGTGGAAAAAAGATACCCCACCTGTTGAATTCATCCATTCACTCACTTTCCATGCCTAAAACTGAATTTATATCGAATTTGCATTAGTTTGCATTTTAGTTTTGTTTTCATTACCAACAGCAGGCCACAGCTCTAGAAGAATCTGAGGAAGCCATAGATTTCCCTTTTTAAATAATCTAGACTACAATATAGGGAGGTCAGTAGCACAAACTTGTGCTGCATGTAGTGTATTCAGGTACAATGCAATCTGCTCTACATATCTGCTAATTCAACTCAACCCTAACAGCCTCTTAAGAGCTGTTACTAATACTCAACTGTACCAGACTGACTGGATTTGCAGTATGTACAGGAGTGAGAAATTCATTTTCACTAAAATGGAATTTGAACTCATGTTTCCAGAGGCAAAAGATTAGTGCACTAACCCCCTACAACACAAAGCCCTCTGCCATTCTACATACTTCCCACAGCGTACAGTCGTATTAACCTTTCTCAAACTTTAAATGCAAATATATTCTTACCTTCAAATGATCCAGCAAAGTCAGTATCTTTTTTTCTCTTGCCTTTTTTACTGACAGACTTGACCTGATCTTTACCATCTATTATCAAAGAAAACCAAATAGGTCACTATAATTTGAACAGTATACACTATATTTAAAACATTAACTACAAAGATTAACATGTTCATTAAGGCACATTTGCCCCATTATTCTGTTGAGCTTGCTCTTAGAAAACATTAAAACCACGATGGAAATACTCAAATTTTCAATTTAAACCCACAGATCCTGGGAAATGTTAAGTTATTCATGCCAACTTTAAATGCCTCTCTTGCCTACTACCACAGCGTGGAAGATATATTAAATAAAGCACTGATCACAGCACAAAAGTTACAAAGAAACATTGAATTATGTAAAATGTATACATTTGATGAACAGTGTGGTATGTTATTAGGCTTGGCAGGATTAGATTTTTATCCGTAAATGTCAATAAATGTTGATTTTACTGTACACACCCATCAATGAAAAAATATTTCTATTGATAACACCTATTATCATTAGTTACTGTTTCCCACTATGAAAATTTAAATTGATAAAAATGGGAAAAAATGCTTTAAATTGAATATCGATATTACCTGTTGAAATTATAAAAAAAATTCCACCAAGTTAAGACAGGAACTCCTCGCTTAATGTTGTAGTTATGTTCCTGAAAAATGCTACCCTAAGCAAAACGATGTTAAGTGAATCTAATTTCCCCATAAGAATTAATGTAAATGGGCGGGGTCAGGTTCCAGGGATGTATTTTTTTTTTTTTTTTTTGCGCCAGACAAAAGACTATAATCTCCACACATATATACAGTATAAGTTTTAAACAAATCATTGCTGTGTACATTATTAAATTGTAATTGTGAAGCTTGGTTGAGGTGGTGAAGGTGGAGGGTGGAAGAGGGTGGGCTATTTCCCAGGGAATGCATTGCTGCTAAATGATGAACTGAGCTGAGCCCTCAAGAGTTAACACAGCTTCACACTCTACAAGGCAGCACGGCAGAGACACACTCTGTGTGTGCATTGCCCCTTTAAGTACACTGCCTTTTTAAGTAGATTAGCAAGTTTAGACAGCAGCTGCTGCCAGCAAGCTCCCTGTCCTGAGCCATCATCCGTCCCCCTTCTCTCCCCCTCCCCCCCCCCCGTGGAAATGGGGTAAAGGAGGAGTGGGAGGACACCCTGACATTAGCACCGCTCTTCTCTCCCCCGCACAGCAAACAGTAGGCTCCCGGCAGCAGCTACAAGGCAGAGGGCAGGAGGGGACAGCTGAATTGCCCAGCAGTTGATAGCCTGTTGGGCGGCTGCTGCACAGGGAACTTAGGGGAGCGGAGAGCTGATAGCGGGGCTGCCAGTCCACCCTGGTTCCAACCACCCACCAGCTAGCTCCAAGGGCTGCTCTTTCTGCAAGCAGTGGACAAAGCAGGCAGCTGCCAAACGACATTAGGGAGCATTGCGCAACTTTAAATGAGCGTGTTCTCTAGTAGATCAGCAATGAGACAACTTTAGGAGAGGAGTTAGTGTATATTATGTAGTAGTGCCCATATGAAAGACAGACATTAA